CCAAATCATTACAAGACACATCGTAACATTTCATGATGTCACACATCATGCCTTAACATAGCATAGTATACTGTAGCACAACAGGCCATTACATAACATAACATGTCATACCACACCATAATACAACATGAGGAGGAAGAGGGAGGAAGGGGTACGTGTGTGCGTGCGAGGAAGTTGGCGCGGTCGGAGTAACAACATGAACACCATCATTTGGATATGAGGGATAGCATAACATGGCATAACATAGCATACCATAACATACCATACCATTCCATACTATAATAAACGATAACCTACCTGGGGAGGAAGAGTGATACCATACCATACCATACCTGAAGGAGTCGGCGCGGTCGGAGCAATAACAAGAACCCCATGCTGTGCATATGGGGAACAAGAACCACATCTTTTGGATATGGCGAATATATGGCCCTCGGGGGGTCCGCCGATGATCGAAAATCGAAAACTGGGCGCAACGCTGGATGTCCCCCCGTTCCAGGATCCCCCCCCCGCCCCTCCCTCCCTTTCCCCGACCCGTCGTCGGCGGACCCTCTCAAAAGGGGGGGGGTTCGAACCCCCATCCCACCCCCCCCCTCCCCCCCGTTGGGTTCGAAAATCGACCCCCCCCCGAGATTCGACCTTCCCCCTTCCCCCCCTTTCAAGGGGCGGGGTATTCCGACACCCCCACCCCCCCTTACTCCAGAACCCTGGCTCCGGACCCCTACCCCTGACCATAACCCACCAACCACACAAACCTAACCTCCATCCCTCACCCCAAAACCATAACCCTATTTCTGACACTCACCCTAACCCTCACCCTAACCCTCACACTTACACTAACCTAAACCCTAACCCTATCCCTAACCCTGACCCTGACCCTAAGCTCCAACCCTCTAACCCTAATCCCTAACCCCTAACCATACCCCCCCCCTAGAACCCTCACCCAAACCCTAAACTTAACCCTACTACCTTAACCGGAAGCTCCGAACTCCCTAACCCTAAATCCACCACCATAACGCAAACACCCGAGCCCGAACCTCAGACACAGATCGAAACCCTCATCCTACCAGCCTAACCCTAACCCCCATAACCCCCTACTAAACCCCGAACCCGAACCAGAACCGCATGACCCTAACCCTAACCCTATCCCGACCTCCCTAGCCCTAACTCCCAACCCCTAACCCCTACCCTAACACCCTAACCTTAACCCTACCACCCTAACCCGAACCCCCATGACATTAACACTAACACCCTAACCCAACCCTAACCCTAACCCTAGTACACTAACCTTAACCCCCTAACCCGAACCCTAACCCTTCCACCCCAATCCTACCACCCTAACCCTAACCCTAACCCTCTAACTCTAACCCTAACCCTAACACCCGAACCCGAACCCCCGAACCCCCGAACCCGAACCCTAACCCCAACCCCAACACACCCCCACACCTGCCACCCTAACCCTAACCCCCTAACCTTACCCCTACCACCCTGACCCTAACCCCTGACACCGTCCCCATCACAAAAATCTGAACCCTACCACCCAAACGCTAAGACCATGACCTGAACCCTAACCCAAACAGCCTAATCCGAATCCCCTGACTCTAACCCTGAACCTACCCCACTAACCCTACCACCCTAACCCTGACCCCCGTGACCCTAACCCTAACACCTTACCCCTAACCCTAATCCAAGCCCTACCACCCTAACCCTACCCCCCCAACCCTACCCCGAACCTGAACACAGTAACCCAACCCCCCAATCCTAACCCTAATTCCCTAACCCGAACACCCTAGCCGTAACCCCCTAAACATAACACTATCACCCCGAGCACTTCAACCCTGACCTGAACCCCCTGACCCTAGGACCTTCAACCACCATAACCCTAAACTTAATCCCTAACCCCAAATCCCTAACCTAACCCTATTCCTAACTCTCACCCTAACCCTCATCCTAACCTTAGCCCTAACTCTAAACCCCAACCCAAACACTCTAACCCTAAGCTCGAACCCCTAACCTCTGACCACAAACCCCAAACACCGAACCCCGAACCCCTAACCTGAACCCTTAACCCCCCCTAGAACCCTCACTCAAACGATAAACCTAACCCGACTACCCTAACCCGAAACTCCTACCTCCCTAACCCTAACCCGAACTCCCTAACCCTGACCCCGTAACCCTAACCTTAGACACAGCCCGAACCCTAATCCTACCATCCTAACCCTAACCCCCTATAACCCCCTAATCCCCGAACCCGAGCCCTAACCGCCTGACCCCAACCCTAACCCTAACCCGGCCCCTTGAACTCTAACCCCTAACCCCTAACCCCTAACCCTACCACCCTAACCCGAACCTTCATGATACTAACCCTAACACCCTGGCCCTAACCCTACCACCCTAACCCTAAACCCCTAACCCGATCCCTAACCCTACCACCCTGATCCTAAACCCCTAATCAAACCCTAACCCTCTAACCCTAACCCTATCAACCTAACCCGAACCCTAAACCTTACCCTTGCAAACCTATCATCCTAACCCTAACCCCTAACCCCTAACCCTAACACCCGAACCCTAACCTCAACACAATGATCATAACCCCCTGACACGACACGATCTATATCACCTTAACCTGAACCTTACCACCAAAACCCTAAGACCCTAACCCGAACCCGAATCCGAATACCCTAATCCGAGCCCCCTAACCCTAATCCTAACCCCATAGCCCTAACCCGAATACCCGAACCAAAACCCACTGGCCCTAACCCTAACCCTACCCCCTAACCCTACAACCCTAACCCTAACCCCATAGCCCTAACTCGACAACCTTACCCCTAACCTTAACCCTAATCCGAACCCTACCACCCAAACCTTAACCCCCGAACCCAAATCCTGACCTGAACAGCCTAACCCTCACCCTACCAGACTAACCCTGACCCCCTAACCCTAAGCCTCCCACGCTAACCCTGAGCCCCTTTACCCCCTAACCTAACCCTGACACCCTAACCCTGACCCCGACACTCTCACCCCAACCCGACCATCTTAACCCTGACCCCAATATATCTCCCGCGCAGCACAGGGAAGCGAGAGGCACTCCCCCCACTCCCCCTGTCCGACGCAAGGGTGGGGGGGGGGAGGTCCGACCCCCCCCCCCTTGCAAAGGGAGGAGGGGGGGGGTCCGAAATCCTCCCCTCTCCCCTCTCCGGCGCAAAGGGGGGGAGGGGGGGGTCCCGCGCCCTCCTCCTCCGCCACCGCCTCCTCCTCCTCCTCCTCCTTCTCCTCCTCCTCCTCCTCCTCCTCCTCCTCCTCCCCCTCATCCTCCTCCTCCTTCTCCCCCTCCTCCTCCTCCTTCTCCTCCTCCTCCTCCTCCTCCTCTTCCTCCTCCTCCCCCCCGTAGCCCTTTCGGCTCAAGGCTGAACGTTGTGAAGGGCTATAGACGCCCGGGAGTGTGAAAGGGGGGGAGGGGGGAAAGGGTCCGAGAACGCCCCCCCCTTGAAGCAGGGGAGGGGGGGGGGGGAATCCTGTTAGCACCCGACCCCTTGACAACTACGGGGCGCACCCGACAGCGCGCTTCCCTGATGATGTGCGCCGCCCTGGAGCCCAGCAAACAGCTGCAAACAGAGGGGGGGCATGGCTGAAACTGGCGACACGACGGCCGCCGCATCCCCTGGCGCCCGCATGAATCCCGTGGGAGCGCCAGAGTGAAATCCAAGGCCAAACGGTACATTCCCATACCACCGCGCTGGAAAGACCCTGGTCAAGCCCAGGTGCGCGAAAGTGGACACTGCACGCGAGAAACTTCCGCGGCATCCGATCTAGGCGCCGTGCTCAAGCACTGGTCATGTGCACGGCGTCGTCGCTGCACGGAAGCGAGCAGCTCTCCGCGCCAGCGAAGTGGAACTCAAAGCGCCTCGCTTGAGCGGGCAAGATGTGTGTTCGAAGTCTTTTTTCGATTCATGGATACAACTACAGGGCAGTTGTTATACATAGGATGTTCAAAGCATGGGATTGCTAATCCATGATTCATGTATTAATGAATGTATGCATGAACTCATCGTTGTTTTTCATACTAACTCCCTGCATGCTTAATGCATGATCCGCACGCGGAGCATGTATTAAAAACGGCACTGTACTCCGTTGTTGTATCTTTGTATAGCTCAAGCGTTTCGCAGTTCCGTGCGCCTCGCGCGAACGCTGAAGTTGTCTAGGCCGTCAGCGATCCCTGTGCTTGCCTTGTGCTCGCGTGGGTTTGGTGCGGCTTGCGCACGCGCGAGTTGTATACTGTATAGGTATGCCTCTCCCCACCTCTGGATGTGGAGTTGTAGTGGACCTTTGACTGGCGGAGTGAAGTTGTGAGCAGCACCCTTCTGTCGTGAATCCTTTGTCCGCTCAGTGCCATAACTGCTCACACATTTCCGCCCTCGGCTTCTCTCCCCTCCTCCGCCTCCGTTTCCTCTTCCTCCTCCTGCCCCTCCTCCCGCTTTGACTGGTCTTGTTCGCTTGGAGCTGGACTCCAAGAGTACGGCCAGACATTGGAGATGTCTCAGCTTTTGCAGGGTGGTTTTCTTGGGATACCCTGATGATAGTCTTGACGGCACGCGAGGTGTTTGTTTCTGTCCAGACCATCCCCTTTGCTTTCCTCCTCCTTCTTCCAAAATTGCGTGGGGGGAACATTCACACAGGCACGAGGCCGCCGAGAGCAGGGCCTATGGCACTGACGGCGCGCGACAGGGGCGGCCCCCAGGGCTGGGAGCGGCACGCAGGAAGGGACAAACAGCCCACACACGCGGCCCGGCTCCGGCAAGCCGCATGGATCATGCGAACTCCCTGCCTCGACCTCTGTCTGTCGACACGGAAGCTCAAACATCAGTGGCCTGCGACCTGAACATCCTAGAATCATGTGCGACTTGGCACACGAGCTCGCGAGGCCTGTGCTCACGAATCCACGAACACCCCTCTGGGAAACTGCCAGGCAGTGGCGCACGGTGTATTACCACCGCGCCCCCGCCTCATGGAGCACGCCTCGCGAGGCGCAGGCCCTGGAGCAGGCTCGAGACGGCCCGCGGCGTCGGCGGCCGCTCGCTGCGAGGGCTGGACCCCGCCGGCAGCTCGAGCTGCCCGCGGGGGCTGTACCGGGGGCTGTGGCGGGGGCTGTACTGGGGGCTGCCGCGAGCGCTGCCGCGGGAGCTGCCGCGGGGGCTCCATGGGATGGCCTCGTCTTATGATGTTCCAGCCTACTTTGGCCCCGATGGCCAGAAAGCACTTCGAGCAACACAGAAGACAACTGCCGAGGCTGGAGGGCCTTCCGGTGTCGGGCCCTGGGGGCGAGGCTCCTCCGGCACGCTGCCGACACCGTCTCGACGCTTTTCTCGGAGCTCGAAGTGCTTCGTGGGATGTGGTCCTAAGTACGATGGGAACAACATAAGCCTCGTCCCCCTCGCTCCCGAAGACGCGCAGCTTGCCGTCCGGCCGCCCGGACTCGAACCACGCCGCCGTCAGCTCCACCTTCGCCCGCTTGCTCATGGGGCCGAGGCCCCGGCTAAGCCATAGCGACTCCAGGAGCGGCACGGCGCCCTCCGCCCGCAGCATCTCCGCCAGGTGCGCCAGGCCCGCGTCACCGACCTGGGGGCCACCCCCATGGGGCCGGAGCAGATGTCAGGTAACGGGCGAAGGTCGCTCTGAAATCGACTGTCTCGCTGTCGGGGGCGCCTGTCCCAGGGCGGCTGGAGAGTTCATACCCTCACGGTGGCGCGTCAAAATAGAAACGTTCCAGCCGCCCTGGGGCAGCGCCCCTGCTGACGGAGAAGTCTATCTATACCGTTCTTCGCCCGCCAGGTTCGGAGGCAACTGCTGGGAGGTCTTCGTCGGAAGGATGCCGGAAGACTGAGCCCCCTAAGGGGGGCTGTTACGCTTGATTATGCCGCGGATGGAGCGGGATGAACCGCAAGATGTTGTTAAGAAGCCCCCCTTTTATCCTAGCACCGCAAAAAAAAAAAAAAAAAAAAAAAAAAAAAAAAAAAAAAAAAAAAAAAATGCTGATCTTAGCCGAACGATCACTTTAGCACTGTACCAAATAACATATATATATATATAGATACATATATACTATCCACCTCCCCCCCGCAACCGACACCTATAAGAACGATTGCAAGCTTTGAACCGACACCTCAATCCGTGAAACTCTTGCAAATGCTTGAAACGAATGCGCACGGCGCTGTGGCGAGAGCCACACCATCCTCCAGGTGCCGGGGTACCGCTTCCCGGTGCGGGAAGTTCGACCCTGCTGCCGAAAGGAAGAGAGTTCTTGAAAACTTCCTGCGGTTGTGCGGGAGTCAGCGGGATCCAGCGGGAACAAGCCGGATGAAGCTGGATTTCGGGCCGGAGCAAAGCTGGAATCTGACCTCCCGGGAGTTCCATCCGAACAGGTGGGGCCGGAAGACCGCACCACACCGCCGACGGACGTTGGGGAGAAGATGGGCGGCGAGCGAGGGGGGAAGTGAGAAGGAGAAGGCCTTCTCAGAAGGCGGCGGGACTTCTCAGAAGCCCCCGCGCCTTCCGAGAGGCTCTCTGCATCTTCGGGGAAGGCGCAGGAGACTTCTCGGAAGGCCGCGGGACCTCCGAGCCTTCCGAGAAGGCCTTCCCCTCCTCACTTCCCCCCCTCGCTCGCCGCCGAGAAGAAGAGCGGCACCAGATTCAGGTCGGGCATGTCCCCCTACAGGCGGATTATGGATGAAGGATTAAGAACAGTCCAAAAACATTCAAAATACTCACACGTACTCACAGATCGTCCACCGACTATTTTTTGTGCTATCTTCGAACACTCCTCCTGTAGGGGAACACGCCCGACTTAACACCAGATCTGAAGGGGCCCTGTGACACACAAATGAACACACCCACACAGGTAAAAAGATTCCCCATATCTCCCCATATTTTCTGGGTTTTTGCCTTCCCCCCCACTTCCCATACCTTCCCATATTTTCTGGGGAATCGCCGACGAATTGTGCCTGTGTGCTTCCTTCCCTCCTGCCGCACCGCCGCCGCGTCGCAGCGGCGGTGCAGGTCGACCCTGCGGCCCCCCAGCCGCGTCGGCCCCCGTTCAAGAGGGCCCGGCCGACCCGGTTGCTGTCCATGAAGACTGCCAGCCTGGAACACATCCCTACCCCTACGCTGGGCACTCAGGGTCGGGCGAAAGGGGGGGATAGCAAAGGGGGGGGTTGAGAATCAGCTCACGTAGCCGATTTTCCCGGCGCCTCCCGGCGCCGGAGGCGGCCATGTATCGAGGAATGGGCCCCTCGGTGAGGCCGAAACCAGCTGCATGCAGCGAGAATCAGCTCACGTAGCTGATTTTCCCGGCGCCTCCCGGCGCCGGAGGCGGCTATGTATCGAGGAATGGGCCCCTCGGTGAGGCCGAAACCAGCTGCATGCAGCAAATTTCGTAACCCCCCCTTTCCCAATCCCCCCCCTTTCGCCCGGCCCGAGGCACCTCCTCATCACGATGCCAATCTTCGGGACTCCCCTCCTTTTTGGGGGGCGCGCACCCCTGAGATTGTCGTCGCCCTTGGGCGTGCCCAGTCTTAGGGACAGGGATACGCTCGAGGCCGGCAAGAAGAGGTGCTCCAGCCGCGGCACCGCGCCCGGCGTCGCGAGCGCTCTCGCCAGGTGCGCTGCGCCTTGGGGAAGGGAGGCGAGCGCCGGAGTCGTGCGCGCTCCGCGGGGGGGGGAGAGCACCCATCCATGCCCACGAGGGCACGGCGTGGAGGCCTCAGAGCTCGAGATGG